CCTTTTCAGAGAGAAGGGGATGATGGGTGGGAAGGAAGGAGGGAGGGAGGGAGGGAGGGAAGGTAATTTTGGGCCCAAAATAAATTGTTTTCCTATCCACTTCTGAAGGTAGCTTGTGCTACCTCGGTATTATTATCTTCTGTCTATGTCGCTTCCTGATTTACAGAATAATGCCACATCCGGGGTCTTATAGGGCCAGTTCTCTACAACCTCACCAGGAAGTCTGCATGGGTAGTTTACAGAACTGATAACCAAAGACTCGAGAGATGACGTGACTTGCCCAAGGCCACACAGCTGCTACAACTGAGGCTAGAATCCTAGAAATCTAACTCCTAGGAACAGGGAGGGGCCTTTCCATATGACCTGCTCCATAGCAGCAATAAGGTCAGGAGAAACGTGGTAAGCACTCCTCTCTGGTGTGAAAACATAGGACTAGAACCCAACGTGGTGGTGGGGTTCTATCTACCTTCAATTCCTAATGATGTCACAGGAGCTCCTTTGGGTGCCAGTCTTAACTGTATACACAGTCAGTGTCTCCCCGACTGACCCACAGTGAGGCTCTTAAACAGGAACAGTTGGGGCCAGCCCTCTGGGTCCCAAGAATGGGAGGAGCTAGGCTGTCTGGAGACCTTTCTACAGCTATGCATCTGAGGCAGAGCTTAATCTCAAGGCCATAGATGGGAGTGCAGGGGAGCTAAATTGCAAGGCAATCAAGTGCAGTTCTAGGTTTTGGCTTGAATGACCTGCAGTGCCCGTGACTGGGAAAACAAGTGTCGGGGCACAGGCCTGGGCAGGCAGGCCCTGGCAAACAAGCTGCATGGAATTTGCTTCTCCTCAGCTGTGTGAGCCCAGTGAAGCCTGTTTTCTCATTTGGAAAGAAGGAGGAGTCATAGCCCTTGTGTTCTTTTCACAGAGCATGTCCCTGAGCCATCTGATTGGTTTGAATTCTGTTTTATTCACCAACTTGATCGAAAAGCCACCTTGAACAAGTTGCTTTCTCTCCAAGTTCCAAAGGCCTCACTCACTTTCCATACTTTGAAAATGAGAATGATACCAACACCCTCTCATAGCTTGGGAAGATGGAGACAATGCACGAAAAGCCTTCTGCACAATGGTACAGAACTCAGGAGTGATGGTGATGACGACCTTATGTTTTATAAGTAGGAGCTCTCAGAGAGCAAGTGACACCACAAACAGCCTCACCCATGCCAGGCTTCTCAGCGAGGGCAGGACAGGTCTGAGGCCTTTGGAAGCAAATCTGGGTGGTCATATATAATATTTTTCATGTGCGTGGAGTGTGTGTGTGTGTATACGTGTTTTTGCTTGTGTGCCCAAGTCGAGGCAGGTGGTTTATATTGGAAATATTCTATGACTCGTCTAGCTTATTCATCAAGGTAGGGTTTCTCAGAAAACCAAAAGCTTGCCAATATGGCTAGTCTTGCTAGCCAGCTTGCTCTGGGGAGGCCCTGTCACCACCTTGGGAGATCAGAATTACAGGCAGGCCTCCACAGCCACGTAGCATTTATGAGTTTCTGGGTTAGGAACTCTGGTCCTCACACTTGTGTAGCAAGGGCTTCACCCACCGAGACACTGCTTCAGCCTCCATGCGTCATTCCCACTCTTGCAGAATTAGGCCTTGTTGGCCCAGCTCAGGCAAACTCTTAGCCTGTTGCCTTTATCGAGCACTGGGCCCCTATAACCTTGGCTCTCACCTTCGATGTGCTCCCTTGTGACAAAAGAGCTGGCTCCAACTATTATGGACCACACTTAACAAATCCCCAAGAGTGATGAACCCATCTCTGTCCCCTTCATAATGTTGCAACAACCTTCATACAGGCTGGAGGTAGCTGGCTGGGCATAGAGCACAGGCGTGTGAGATGAAGCACGCATGCTCACGAGCACATTCTCAAGCCCACGTGTTGGACTCCTGAGATGGTGGGAGCCTCACATCCCTGCCCCCACCTTAGCCTCTTCTCTTCCTCCCCCACCACAAAAGCCACAGGTACCAGCAGTCTCCTCCAATACAACAACAGCAGACACAATGCAAAACCAGAGGCAGGCATCTTTGCAAAGTTGTTTCAAGCATCTAGCAGGATGTGAGCCCAGGTGGCTAACGGCTACAGACCAGAGAAAACCCTGATGAAGTGGGTTCAGTAAATGGGGCCGTGGCTGAGATGTAGGCTAAGAGACTTGGCACAGTGCTGATGGGCCAAGGAACTGGAATGCCAGCCCATCTGGCCCCACCATCTGCTAACCCTATCTCCTAACCAAGTGCTGAGTTTCTTCAGGCAGGCCACGCCTCCTGTCTGAAACTCAGTTTTCCTGTCTATAAAATGGGGAAATCAGAGTCTGCCCACACAAGGTTAAGAGTGTTTCAAAGACACGGAGGTTTAATAGCATTATCATGGTGGCTATACCTTAGAAGACTAAAATGCTCCCTGAGAGCAGAGGAGTCTGGGATAGTGTGGCTGCCCAGGTTATCCCTCCCTCCCAGAGCACCTTTGCCAGTCTCTCTCTCCTTACAAAGAAAGTCCTATGCCTTAACTCCCTGTGTAGTCACTTGTCAAGGAGCGCATTGGTGGGTTAGGAGCTGTGGGTTCACATGTGGAGAGAGGACTGATTTGTGTTCCCAGCAACTGAGGTCTCCAGTTGCAGGCCACAGATGCCATCTACTTATCTGTTGTCCCCAGTGCTAGAGGGATAGTCTGTAACCAGAACACCCAGCCACCTCCTTCTACAGGTATGGCTGGCAGGCTTGAGTCACCCATATTCCTTCAACTCTACAGTCTATAGCCAGGAGGTCACTGGGGCTGGGGGAAAATAATGGTGGCCAGAGGCAGCCCTAAAAGTCTGGAGTCAGTGTGGGTGGGAACAGCTCTGGCCCTCTCCCGCAGGTGGGGATAGGATGGGGCCCTCTGAGCTATGGAGCCTTATGAATAGGAGCATTAGACTATAGGATCCTTTATATTGGGAGACAGGGACTCACTGTAGCAGGCTACATGGCTCTGCCATCCCAAGGCCCAGGAGTGGGTGTCCATGATGAGGTATGCACATCTGGGAGAAGGTAGAATGTGCTGCCTGGGGTCTGGCTCTGGAGGAAGCTTACGATAGTAACTTCCAAGGTGACGGGCCAGTGGGCGCTCTTGGGACATGGATGGCACAGAGGGAGGATAGCTAAGCAAGAGCAAATGAATCCCAAACTGAAGTGGTCAGTGGAGTCGGGGGCGTCTAGCTGCTCCAGCTGAGGATGGCCAGAGTGAAGGCTACCCACATAGAGGTCAAGGAGGTGGTAATAGGGGCCATGGCTGACAGCGGTTGTGTGTGCTGCTCTAGCCATGCGAACTCCTCCAGAAGCTGGCGACGCTGCAGTTCTGGGCCAACTTTCTCGCGAATGGTCTGGTAGTATTGATTCAGGTACTGGAGCTGCAAAGGGAAGTGGGTCTGAGCTAAGCTGCCAAGAGATGAGGTCCCCTGCTATGGTACTCTAGCTTCACTGTGGACTCGGGTCCCAGCCAGTTTCAGATCTCTGCTATTTTCTGGGGCTTTCCAGAGACAGTGCTCCATGCTGGTTGCTTAATAATACAGTGATACTCACGGAGAGGAGGTCGCTGCCTGGCACAGGAATAAAAAGGACAGTAGTTATCTCCAGTTTACAAAAGAGGGGACTGGGGCCCACAGTGGGGATGGAACTGCATATCCTTCTATGCCTTTTTGTAGCAGAGCTCAGAAGCCCAGTCTCAGAGTCCCTAGGGGTTTACAGAGTTGGGGCATGCTGGTCTGACGAGAAGGTCCTAGAAGTTTTGTGATCTCTGAAAAAGCTGGGAAGATATGCCACCAACAAGTACCTAAGGTGCCACCATGTGGGTCTTCCGGGTGAAGGGCAGAAGTCCTTGGAGTAGGGAGATTAGAAGCAAGAGAAAAGCCGAGGGTGGTTGGAATTGATCTGGCTGAAGTTAAGACGGTATTAAAGACACTTACTTGCTCTGGGGACAGCAGGCTGACATCAATGAGGTTCCGGTCATAGGGCACAAAGGACACCACTTCAAAAGTCAGGTAGGCCCCTGGGTGCTGAAAGTCCATCAGGAAGGTGAGAAAGCAAGAAAATGAGGGAGCTTGAGAAACTGGCTGAAGGCAGCATGGGAACCCTGCACTGAGAAGCCAGGAGTGCAGGGAACGGATCCTTGCCAGCTCTGGACACTGCAGCTAGGTTTGAGCCTTCCAGAGTCCATTCTCTTGGCCAGTCCTCTTGTCTACTACCCAGAACCCTATTTTGTTGCTCCCTTCCTGATTCCTGGAATTTAGATTACACTCATGTCTGATTCTCAGAGCCTGGGCATCAACAGTGTGTAGGGAGCACATTCAATATTTGGGTTGCAATGACTACTTCCAAGACCCACTGGAAGTAGAATCTCTAGGGCAGGGCCATGGAACCTATGTTTAAATAATTTATAAATGTTATTTGATATCTACCTACCCCCTCTAGATAGGGTCTTCCCTTGCCTAGGCTGTCTTCAAACTCACTCTGTAGCAGAATCTGACCTTGAACTTTTGATCCTTCTGCCTCTAACTCTTGACCAGTAGGATGACAAAAAGTGTCATCAAGTCCAGTTCATTGCGTACCGAGGACTGAACCCAGGGCGATAACCGAGCCACATCCCAGTGTCCACAGGTGCCAGAAGAGGGTATAAGATCCTGAGGAACTAGAGTCCAGATGGTTACGAGCTTCCATGTGGATGCTGGGACCTAAACCTGGGCGTTCTACAGTAGCAGCAAATACTCTTAACTGCTAAGCCATCTCTCCAGCCCTAAGATCTACCTTATTTTTAAAGGGATGTATTAAGAGTCTAAAGTATGGGGATATATCCTGATTTACTCAGTCACGGTCTTGGGAGCTATTTGCATTTTTTAACTATTACTATCAATGCTACCAGTTGCTAACACTATGTAAATACCTTGATGAACTCTTGGGACTGTATCCGGATGTTAAATCTGGTGGAAGGACAGCTGAGACAGAGGCACGGGGTATTTTGATAGATATTGTTACACTATCGTTCACAAAGTTTGCAACACTGCATGCTTCTCTCAATAGTGAATGAGGGCACTCATCATACCACATACTCACCAGCACTGGGTATTGTCAGTCTCTAATTTTGACTAATCTGGTAACTGTATATAACTATATATGCAAATTTTAAAAAGTCAGAGAGGATCCTACCATACATGCTTCTCTGTACCTTTCTCCCCCTTTACTTAGTAGTAAACCCAGGGGAATGATATGCTATTATATTGCTGTTTTGATTTATACACATTTAAGGATACAGACAAGCATCTTTTTACATGCATCCAATTACTGTTCATTTTAGCGAACCGTCTCTTCATGTCCTTTGCCCTTGTCCCCCAGTTTTGATCTTGTAGGAGTTCACAGTGAAATTGAGGATATTTAGCCTTTCTTTGTTGCACATATTATACTTGAAACAGAACTTTGGATTTTGGTTATGCTATGATTTTCATACAGACATTTTCTATTTAACTTAGTTACCAACTCCCCCCCCCCCCCCCCCCCCCCCCTCCTTTTCCACCCAGGATTATAAATGAATTCATATAGGTTTTCTCCTATGCCTTAGTGGTTCTATTGTTCACCATGAAATTTCAGTTCATCTGGCAGCAAGCAGGAGGAGGGAGCCGAGAGTGGTAAGGGGTATATGGATATGATCAAGGTACACGATACCTCAGATTTAATACAATGAATATATGATAACAAAACCCAGTTTTCCCATCTGGGATTTTATTTGCTATAACAGTGATGGCATTTGGTTTACTCCTCACAATGATTAATCGTTTATTTCCTTGCCTATTTGTGGAGTGATTTCTCTCTTCCCTCCTGTGGTGAAACACCAGCTAACTCGCCGTGTTTATGTGAATTAGGGGTTTATTTCTGGACTGGCTGTTTCGTTTCATTATCCCTGCTGTCTGTTTCATCTCCACTTGTTGGGATAGTTTATGGTAGCATTGGATAGGGCTAGTTTTTCCCCTAGCTACCTATTTTGCCTGTTTATTTTCACAAATAAACATTACTGTTGTTGGTGAAGTCACAAAAGTATCCACTTAACATTGAAATTGAGGTGATCTTGAATTTAGAGATTAATTTAGGGAGAATGGCATGTTCATAATATCATGGCTTCTTCCCAGAGAGCACCATTTACGTAAATCTTTTTTATGTCCCTTAGCAGAGTTTCTCTGTGTAAGTCTTTTAAGTTTATTTCCAGGTATTTCATCTTGCTGGCTGCTATAATATCAAATCCTTAGTTGTAACAAGCTCCCCTGATGATTATTATGTGCACTGAGAACCAGAGATTTGGAGCAGGGTTACTGATTCACTTGGTCTGGAGTGGGGCCTGGCACTGATATTTAAAAGGAAAAAAAAACAAAAACAAAAAACCAGATTCCCAGATGATTCCAGTGTGCAGCCTGAGAAATAGGCTTCAGATAAAGTCATGCTTATACATCAAATGCCCTTCTCCTTTGGCCTTCCTTATTCCCATTTACCCCAACTCAGAGCCATGCTGTCCATATGTGTCTAGCCCATGGCACATTACCTTGGTCTTTGCTTCTACCACAAGGGCCACATCTTCAAGACGGATTCCAAACTCCCCATCCTGGTAGTATCCAGGTTCTGAGAGATACACACAGAGATGCTAATGACATTCAGCAATGGGTAAGAGGAACCCATGCCCAGGTTGCCTGCACCAATCTTCAAGTAACTGCAGGGCCTGGCTGCCTGTGGGTTTGGCTCTGTCAGCCCCACAACTTGTTAGATGCCAGGCCTCAGATCCTCTCGGGTATAACGACCTCATTCTCCCTCCCTGGTAGTCTAGCCAGAAAGACTGGAGATCCCACTTAGGGTTCCAATCTCCATGTGTACCACTGTCCCAGCATTTGATGGACTACTCCATAGTCTGGGTGTGCACCTGGACACCATTTCCCAAGGACAAAAAGAGAGTTATAAAAATCCAGGAGTGCTGGCACATGCTTGCAATCCCAGTACTGGAGAAGTGGAAGTAGTAGGAGATCAATCGGGAACTTAAGGCCATCTTCGGCTACATTAATGAGTTCAAGGACAGCCTGTGCTACGTAAGATGGTCTAAAATAAAACAAGAAGAAAGAGGGTATGGGCAGAAGGAGCTTGGAGTAAGGGTGTGATAACCACTTGTGTCTAGATGTAGGAAGGAGGAGTGGGTGATAGAGCTGTGGCTAAACCTATGTACAGCATGATTCCTAAAGATATGACTGCATTCCCCAGATAGCTTTACTCTGGGATGGAGTGGTAAGGTGGAAGGACTCAAGAATCATACCAATGGAAGTGAACATGCCCTTGGCCATGGCAATGTTGTTAGACTGGAATCCCACTGGCCCTGGGAAGAAAGATACATGCAGGGTTTCAGCTCTATGTGTCAGCAACTTGGAAGTGAGGAGGTTCTGGGGGAGGACAGGTAACTGGAGGGGGGATCCCTAGGTATACCTAGAGGCACTTGTCATATGTGGAACAGGCATACACCAGATAGCCTTTGCCTTTTCTTTCCCTGGAGTATATACTATTTAGCTAGCAGGCTTTGGTTCTCTCTCTGGAATGCCCACAGCCAATATTCTTCATTTGGCCTTGGAGCATCATTCCCACCATCTGGTGACCTTGGGTGGGTCATGCATCTCTGTAGGTTTGTAATTTCCATGCTGTGGAAGGTTCTATCTCATAGGAGAGCATCAAACAAGTTATAGATGAGAAGATACTTACACTCATGTACGCAGAGGAAATTGCCAATGCCATGGCCTGTCCCATGGCCATAATTGAGTCCAACTTCCCACAAGGCTCTTCGAGCAAAAGCTTCCACCATCCTTCCTGAGAGGGAAAAGAGATTGCTCCTGGACCACTGGATGGACCCTAGACTATCCACCTTGGCCTTTCCTATTCAACTTCTAGGGTGGTACCTGAGGAAAAGGGCTTGAGAGGACACTGGAGTGGGATGGAGAAGGGCTGATGGATGATGCTAGTAAATGTTGCCTGAGCAGCCCAGGCTGCCTCCTCACTATCTCTTGCACTCTATACATTGGACTCATCACCTGCACTGATGAGTCTACTAAAATGTCTCCTCATGAATTAGGCCTTATCACTTTGACAATCACTTCCTCCAAAAATTATATATGACTTCTGAAGCTGACACTGAC